ATCAAGGCCCACGGACGCGGTTCTTTCACTTGTAAAGTAACCAATTACCACCGAGCCGGTGGCACACGATGGGCGAAAACATGTATTTCACACCCATTGTACGTCGACATAAAGCGCTTATACATTACAAACAGAATTTTCGTAGGACTGCCATTACTTTAGTTTGCAGCATGTGTATTGAGAACGAGTATCTTCCTAATTCTGCTGGCTGTTTGTAGAAGAACGGCACAATATCACCACATTTTTCTTGTTAATGTCTGTATGCAATTAGCCCTCGGGCATGAATTTGCAATAAACATCAACAATAAAACAGTTTTCAATACCAACACGACTTAGCAGATAGCACGTAATGAAGCCCACTTTTTACGCAGATTGTAGCACTACGTAATGTTACACAAACTAACAGTAGATGTTTTAAGGAATTCACAGAAATGACAATGATAGATAATGTAACGCATATACATTATACAGCACAAAACAAAGTACCAGTAATGTAGTCGTCTTTGGCCGGGTATGGCAAGTTATAGTACGTACATGTATCGGTTCAATCTTTAACGGGTAAGTTGACAGCAACAAGCAAGATGCATAGGTTCTATTACTTTTGTAGCTCACTTGCGTCTAGATTTGGGACGAACCCATGTTACTTTTTCGCCGCAGTTTTTCATGTAGTGGTTACTTCGACAGCCTTTCCGCTGACGCAAACATACTAGATTGAGGTTCCACAGTTCTTACAACGTTAGCGCTTGAAGTGGTGTTTTCCAAGTTTGTTGGTCTGGTGATGTTGTCTTTGTTGGCTTGTTGTCTGTCATTTCCCTCCATTTTTATGTTTGGCGGCCCGTCTTCGATGGGTTGGGTTTGGTTCACAAATCTCGGCTTCGCTAAGATCCGTTCCTTCCCGTACGTAGTGGTCGCTCCATTAGCGCTAGTGCAGCCACATTTGAATGTGTAAAACTTAATGTCTACAGTCCCGTTTTGATTCGTTCATCAAAGTAGATTTTACTAAGGTATGACTTTACTAAGTGATTGTGGAAGTACTAGTACTTAGTACTGATGTAAACAAGAAACAATTACGCGCTCTGGTTGAGTTCATGGCATTTACATGAAACAAGGTGCTAATAGCCGCTAGTCGGTTACCTGTCAGCAGCCCTATGATTGGTCCCCGCTAGAAATCTACAGGATGTCATATAGTGTACACGGGGGGGGGTAACTCTGAGGGGGTGTCATTTTGAAGGAAGTTTTAACTGAACGAAGAGAGCTCGAACTTTGGGACACGTACACGGTCTAAACAAGACGCAAGACGGGAACAATTAGAGTGAAGGTAAGTCAATATATACTGATTTTTTAAATACAATTTCTATCTATTCATTAAGTCGGCCCCATGTTACATATACAATGTATATGTATGCCATGTAAATGAAAGTTTGATACAAATCTTAATTGGAGAGCTTCAAGGTATGTGGGACTATTCATTATCGATCCACTGCCTTCAAAGAATAAGTCAAACCCCACAATAGCTAGC